AACTTATGATGATTTTAAAGCATGTGTTATGCCATTTTTCTTCACATGATGCATTTACTATACATTTTTGTGGTCTTTTTTCTCCTTTCCATTGACTAAAACAGATTCTCTTTTGCTAGGTTAAAAGTTATGCATTCTTTTAAAATTCTATGGAGGTTGCCATAACTTAAAAAAGACCTACACTTATATGCATTTATTCCTATTAAACATGAATATAATAAACATCCATATATACCACTACCCAGCTTAGAAAATAAAACCTTAGGAAACAAAACCTTGGTAGAAGATGCCTGTACACCCCTCTTCATAACATCTTCCCTCCTTCTCAACATTAACACTTTTTTGGATCTGGTGTTTATAATCCCTACTTATGACTGTATATTTTTTTCTACATACATATGTAATCCTAAATTTTACATAGTCTTGTTCTGCATGTTTTAAACTCAAATGGTATCATCTAATATGTACTCTTTGCAACTTGCTTCATTTTGCACTCAACATTATATGTGAGATTTATCCAAAGTTGATACATATATTTATATTCAGTGCTATGTTATGTGTCATACATATCCATTACATAAATAAACTACAATTAGCTTATTAAGGTATATATTATCCAGTTTCAGTAGTAGGAGGCTGGAATGGACTCAAAATGAACATTCTTTACGATGATTTTAAGAAGACAAAATGAAAATGGTAACCAAAATGAAGTAGTAAAAAGAAACAAGTGAATTTGACAAATTGGCCATTTAGCAAATTGGCCTAGAGCCCAAAATCTCAATAAGAAGAAAAAACAAGCTGTGGTAGCAAAAATAATTCCATTTACTAATGCCCCTTATTAGTCTGATTGGGTAGCCATAACAGAATTCCACAGCCTGGATGTCTTAAAAAACAAAAATTTATTTTCTCTCAGTTCTGGATGCTTAAAGTCCAAGATCAAGGGGAAGTCAGGGATGGTGTCTGGTGAGGGCTCGTCTCCTGGCTTGGCAGTTGGCTATCTTCTTACTGTGTCCTCATCTGTCCTCTTCTCTGTGTGTGCTCAGAAAGAGAGAGAGATGTCTGGTGTCTCTTCCTCTTCTTATGATGACACCAGTCCCGTCAGATTAAGACCCCATACTTATGACCTCATTTAACCTCAACTGTCACCCACCCTAAAGGCCCTATTTCCAAATACTGTCATATTGGGTGTTAGAGTGTCAACACATGAGTATAGGGAGGACACAATGATTCAGTCCATAACACTCTCAAATTGTATATACCACTTAGCTATTGCCACAAAATGCTACATAGAAACAAACTCAAAATGTCATGGCTTACAACAACAAATATTTATTTTTCTTGCTCATGGGTCTGTAGTAGGATTATATATGATCTCAGCTGGGGTTGGCTATGTGTGGATCCAGGCTACAGGACAGGGTTAGGTTCACAGGCCTCATTTTGGAGTCAAGGCTAGTAGATCAATGGATACCTAAGGCATGTTCTTTTCAGGGTGATGACGGAAGCACAAGAGTACAAAACCCAACCACATAAATGCGTTTCAAGACTCTGCTTTCACCGTGTCTACCAATATCCCATCAGCCAAAACAAGTCACTTAGCCAAGTTCACAGTCAATGAGCAGAGAAATCAGTTTCACCCACCATGACACCATAGGAGGTTGAAACTATATAATACTACCATGGCATAGTGAAGAATTGGGAGCAGTAATTTAATCAGACACAGCTCTGAGTGTTCAGCTCTGAGAGTTCAGGGTGAGCCTTAATTGGCACTAAAAGACATTCTTTTCCTGCAATGGCCCATGTAGATTGTGAGTATTAAATACTGATGCTGTAGCAATACCAAAAGTCTCTGTCATTCCATGTTGTGCTTTGATTGCGTTATGTACTCCTTACGTCTTTTCTTAGAGTTCTGAGCCAAGACACCCTATTTTTGTTTTGAGGGTTCAAATTAATCACACTCGTTCACTATGTGAGCTCTGAGTCAATTGAGAAATATCCAGAGTTCTGGTGGGAATTTAGTACAGTATTAGCTCTTTTATTGGTGAACCTGCCTTGGATCCCAGACTAAAAGGGTCTTCTCACTACTTCCCCTCCTGATTTGAACTTACCTACCTAGTCATAGGCATCACTCCTAGAGAGCGCCCTGCCCATCTGCTTTGTTTACTGCATGGAAAGAAGAAGAAAAGCTGGTCAGATTAATCCAGGGAAGGAGAAAGACAGAGTCAGAAGTGTGTTCAAACTGAAGAAATAGTCCTTGTGGAGGCCTTAAGGCAGGAAACAGAGTCACCGATAACCAGTGGCCATTGCAGAAATCTCCAGGCACTTGAGGGATTCACTATCCAGGTGATGTAATTGCTGAAGGTGAAGACCCTTGGGCAATTTAGCCAGAAGAAAATTGGGCCTAGAGGGAACCTGAGAGTTGGCCAAACATAAAAGGGAAGAAGACTTAATGCCATTCATTCACTCATTCATTCAGTAAATATTTACTGAGTGCTACCTTATACCAGGCACACTGTTCACTCTTTGGCGTGTTGGGGATAGAGCAATTAATAATATATCCATGTCCCTGTCCATGTGGAGCTTACATTCTTGATGGGGTGGGTTTACAAACAATAAACAAAATAAATAAGCAAAATATATACTATGATAGAAAGTAACAAGTGGTAAGAAGAAAAAAATAACAAAGAGAGTTAGGGTGCCTAGGTGGGGTGGGGTAGGGTACAGTTTCAGAAAGGATGGCCAGGATAGGTGACATTTGAGCAATCTGGAGGAAATGGGGCCATGGGGATAGAGCATTCTGCACAGAGGTACTAGCAAGTGCAAACACTTGAGGAGGGTGGTGCTGGGGATGCAGGTTGAGGGACAGTAAGAATGCCAGTGTGTGAGAAAGCAGTAGGACATGAGTCTGGGTGGCTAATGGGGTGGTGGTGAGAGGAGAGGAAGGGAAGATCAACTTGTAAGCAATTGCAGTGCCCCAGGTGTTTATTCCATAAGATGGGGAGTCAATGGAGTATTTTGCACATAGGGGACATGTGGTCTGATCTACCTTTTACAGCAAAGGTTGGGCTACTGTGTTGGGTACAGACTAAATGGGACCAAGGGTCATAATTCTCTGTGCTCCTGCAGAAATAACTAGAGGCAGTAGGTAGAAGGGGATGACTTTTCTACCTAAATAACCCCACTTCGCTGACTGTCCAGCAGTGTAACTGGCTGTCAGTCACCTTGGGAGTTGCAGTCAGCAGCTTGTCACTGGCAGTCCCAGCAGAATATAGGGATGTTGATGCTGGGAAATTCCTACCTCAAATAAGGCATCAGACTTATGACATCCCAGATTCCTTCCAATACTGAGCATCTCTGATTCCACAGCGTGCGTCCTCAATCTCCCCCCATTAGAATATCAGCTCCATGAATGTAGGGAGTTTTGTCTGGTCTGTTCATTGCTACATTCTCACTGCCTCAATAGTGTCAAGCATATAGCAGACACTCAATTAGTGCTTGTTAAATGTATGAATGTCTGTTAAACTCATTGCAAGACCTTGAACAATGCACTTTTCTTCTGTGCACCTCGAAGAATAAAACAGTTGGATTGGATGGCACCTGATGACCTTCCAGGTCTGCCAGCCTGTGATCCCATTTCAAACTCTGAGCCAATTTTTCTAAAGGGCTTTGCAAGCTAAGGGGTGTATGAAGGGGTGTTCATGGGGAGGAGAGGCAGGGATGGGTAAGGGCAAAGCTGAGTCAAAGAGAAGTGCAGGGATATCCTCTGGGGCTGGGGACCAGGGCACTCTCTGAAAGTAAATGTGAATTGTCTCTTTGAGATGCACAGGGTTCTGATTGTAATATGGGATGTTTCCCTAGAAACTGAGGCTACAGGACACTGAGGACCCATCCCGAGCATGTTGTCTTTGCCTCATTCGAGTCAGCCTGGTCAACAAAGTGTTCACAGGTCCCTGAGGCTGCCCTGGGAAAAACAGCATAAATAGCAGCAGGAACCCCTTTTAAGTGTATCAAAAATACATTTTTTATCTTGAAGTTCGCAAATGACAATATTCTTTAAGCAAAGAGTTCCATCGAGGCACAGCATTACTATATCCCCAGACACACACGAGGCAGCAAGTTCACCTCTCCTTGAGGTTTAGCAGAGCTGCCAACATTGATGGGTGGGCTGATGGGGCCCAGATCTGATACTAGATAAGCCAACAGACATGCCGTCATATTTATTGAAGACAAATCTAATATAAAAAGATACACACTAGGTAACCACAATGATTTTATTCTGCATTTAGCTTTAGTTTATTTCAAACAAAAACGAGTGACTTCAGTATCTAGAAGCATGCATATAGGTGTGTCTTCCATGCACCCTGTCCTACAAGTTGTTTTCACTACAAATTTAAGGAAGTAGAGTTTAGCTTCATGGTGATCTAGGAGAAAGAAAAAATAATAGCTACAATTTAGTTACTTATTAAATGTGAGGCTATTGACATCTATTATGTCATTTACTGTTTCTATTAACGCTAGCAGGTAAATACTATTGTTACCTTCATTTACAGATGGAGAAACTAAGGCTCAGGGAGAGTGGCCCATGGTCATATAGCTAGTAGAGGGCAAACACAGTATTTTAACCCAAGTGTATGCTCTGAATTCAGATGTTCATGACACTGTAGTGTATACTTCAAAAAGATAATGTTATTGCCTTTCAAACTCAAGTGCTAGAATAATCACGATTATAACTACAGGGAATAGTGTTTTAAATTTAAAAAATCTATATTTCCTGGCAGATGATCTCAGTGTCACAGGGAGATGCTGGAAAAACAGAGAGAGATGAACCCAAATTCTAGTAGTTTCAGCTATTGGGACTCTCTGTTCTTTCGCCAGACACTGGAATGGGCATCTTCTCCTGTGGATTTTTTACCCATATGGGCCCAAGGAGGGTTAAAGTGTGGACAGCACCCCTGCAATACCCGGCCATCCATCCTCCCATCTGACAGTACGAGGGCGGTCACCTTCTTCCTGGAGTCATTTCACTCCTCAGGCCTGAACATCCCTGCGGCGCCGGCCAAAGGCATTGGAGCCCACATTGGTCGGCACGAAGTTACTCTTCACCACACCCCCAGATCTGCTCAGCAAGCCTGCCAGCCGATGGATCACGCAGATGGCAGTGTTGCAGGATCTCTTCTGAGCAGTAAGGCTGATTTGCAGGATGGAGAAAAGGAGAAGGCCTGTCAGTGAGAAGTTGAGGGCAGGAGCCTGCCCCATGGGACATTTGTGGTAAAATTACTGCTCTGAGAGTCACCAATGAAACTTAAGGGTTTTTCCTAAACACAGATCACAGCAGAATCATAAGCCATTAGCGAAAACGGCATGATCACTCCCCGTAGAAATTCCCAGAGTTGCCAGAAAACCCAAAGATGGCGCTGAGAAACTGGCCATGGGAAAAAGAGCTATAACAGCCAATCTTTCTCGTATAAATAAACTGAAAATCAACCAGGCATATGAAACTGGAGAGAATTATGGTACCACACCCAACTCCATTCTTAAAGACTGTCTAGAAGCTACATCCCATTCACTGGTACCAAGTACTCCTTCTTAGGAAAAGGAAAATTCCCCTGTCTTACCTGGAAGAGACAGAGAGGTGCCAGCATCAAGTCATGGATGTGCTTATCTGCTCATTAGTCCTCCTGTTCTCACTACTTGAGGTTGGTCAGAGAGACCACCCACCATGCCCTGAATCCACCCACCATGCCCTGAATCCGGCTACCTGAGGCTAAGGCTACTTCTAAGACAGGTGTTCCTGAAGCCATGAAGCCTGAGACCTGGACCAGAGCAACAACCACCACAATTTAGTCTTTGTGGAAATATACTTTTATTGCCCAATGACAGGCACATTCAGAAGCAAGACTAAGAATCCCCTCAGGGACTCAAAGGGTGGTCCCCTTCCCTCTGATCTCTTCCTGGGTGATTCTCTTCTGGCCTATAGGTCCTGCTCTCTCTCCTCAAATCTGAGGTTCCAGACGTTCACTGCCACAAAGAAAGCCATTGATACCAGCGCGAAGAGCAAACAGAGAGGACTGCACGCATCAAGTTATGGGAAGGAAGCAAGAAAGGAAATTAGAAAGGAGAGGGTGGGGCTGAGTAGGCATCCTGGGGCATGCCAATGTGAGGGCTGTGGTCTCTCTCCAACCCTCTGGCCATGACCCTTTCCTTGCCACACACTCCAAATCCTATTGTAGCTTAGGGGAACATATGAAACTTGTTGAGGTCCTGTGTGTATTTGCCAGGCACGTAGGTACTCAGATTACCACACTGCCTAGCTCTGGGGCTGTCCAGGCTGCAGGGAAAAGACATGCCAAATGGTACCATGCACTGGGTCTGCCCCGTGGCTGTCACACAAAAGGTTAGACGAGGGAGGGGTCAATTTGAGTAGGGGCAGGAGGGGCAGGCAGGAGGGCAGCTCACACATCGTCTGTTAGGAGAACTCAGAGGTTTGCTGAGCCAGAGCGGTGTGGGGAAGGGCTGTGGTGGAGAAGCTGGGGCCTTTTCTGGCCTTCCACAAACTGCTCAGTCCTTCACGCTCTGCAGAGAAGGTCTCAGGGCGGATGCAGGTGCAACACGTGCCTCTATCCGGGCAATGCTGGGGCCAGGCCAGGGGCTGCCTTGTCTCCAAGCTCAGGGTGCACAGGGAGGGAGGGCTGGGAAGGGTGCCTGGCCCCTGACAACAGGCACATCTCCACAGAGCCTACACATCTCAAGACCCCAGACCTACCTCAGACACTGCTCTACCCGACCCCACCCTCTGCAAGGCCTTTGGCTTCACCTTGCAAATGTGCAATGAAGGCGCCTTGCAGGTGAGAAAAAATATCATATGCAGGTTAACTAGGAGGAGTCTAATTTCCAGAATTTCCTGAGATATATGGGGTCCATCTGCTGCCCTCACACTTACCAGTCCTCACTCTTCCAGTGCTCGGAGGTCTCCTTAGTAGGGCAAGACGAATTCCCAGAGTGAAGGATTCCACACCTTTCCCAACTGCTTTCAGAAATGGATCTTTTTACATGTGGTCTAACCATAGTCTCTCCACCTGACCTCTGTCTTCAGTGGAGCCTGAGAACAGCTGGGCCCCAAGCTGGGGTGAACGAACAGCCTGCTGGCCTCCCGTCCAGCTGTGTTCTCTCCTACGTCTTGGGATATGCCTTCTTGGGCATGACAGGAGGGAGGGGATGCCCTGTGCTGGGCGGGACGGGGAGCCTCACCTGGAGCCCTCTGTCTCCTGCTCCAGCTCCAGCTCCCTGGCCTTCATTTGCACATAGTCCTTCACCAGCGCAGCCAGTAGGAGGCAAGTTTCCTCCTCAGTGAGTATAGCACGGTCTGGGTGGCTCTCCAAGGCAGACCTGGAGAAGGAAAGGAAACCCAATACAGGCTCAGTCACCTGCCTGCCCCCTCCTGGATAAGCAGGCAGGACCCCTGGGTTCTGCAGCTTCTCCTGAGGATGTGGCCTCCCCAGCTCCCAGTGGACAGGGCAGGAGGCCACTTTCCTTCCAAAAATGCTGCTTTACCAGAAGCCAGGCACTGGTGTGAATTTGAAGTGGTTTACTGAAACTGGATCATCCAGGCTTGTGAAAGCTGATGGTTAGATTTTCAGGAATTTTATGAGCTTAGTGTTAAACACAGCCATTATTTAAAAACTTACATTATTATAAAACTTACAATCAGTTTGAATCTGAAAAAAGTTTAAGTTTAATAAATATAATTTGTATGAAGGTGAGAAATCAGATTAAAAGGTCACATATCCAATTTAATAACAAATTTATTGGCAAAGTAGTTAGCACATTAGGATGCAATTCACTTCTCAAATTATGGTTGAATTAGATAAATCAGTTTACTACAGATGCAAATGTTCGTTACAGGGCAAGGAAAGCATTCTGTGACGCTCAATAAGGTATATGAATTTTATAATAAAGAGTATTGTATATCTTATTTCTATTTGTAAATTGTGTGTGACACATCTTTATATCATAAAAAGTTTATAATAAACTTATAGCAGGTTTACATACATACATTTTTCCCCCCAGAGAGCCAGATGTTAAATTATCAGCACACCAAATTTCAGAGCATGAAATTGTTTGATCTGAGGGGCAGTGGGAGGGAAGTGCGCTCCTAGCAGGGCTGTCTTACCTGAATGGTGCTGTCTGGAGGATGCCCGCCTGGTACAGGACCAAGATGCTGAGAAGCAGGAAGGCGGAGAACTTCCAGAAGCCCATGACGACTCTCTGCAAGGGAAGAATGACATCACCACTCACAGCAGTTGGAAGTTCTCTGAGCCCACAGACCTGGGCTCCGGTCTTGCCTCTGCCTGTGACTCCCTGGCTTCCTGGCTTCAGGCTGGTCATGTCATTTCCCTTCACACTTGTTTCCTCATCAGCAAAGTGGATGGAAGGTCCAGTGAGCCTGCAGCAGGCAGGTTTAGCACAGTGGGAAGAGCATCCTAGCAGGACCACTGAGTGAGGAGGTCTCAGTCTATAGCACCTTCTCTGCCAACCCTACACACTCTCACATACACCTATTGCCCAGATCTCCATTGAGGACAGTCTCAGAGTACCCTGTCACCACAGCTACTCTCACAAACAACTCAGAGCTGTCCTCCCTCTGTCGGGCTTTTACTCACACCTGGTGATCTGTGTGGGAGAAGGTAAGTGGAGTAGGAATATCTCTGAGGTGGGGATCTCTGAGAAACTGAAGAACCAAATTCTCAGAGCTCAGCTGCTCTGCACTTGGGCATAGAGTCCCCTATAAGAACGAACCTTAGCAGAGTGGTAAATTGGAACCCAAGACTTAAACTGGGGAAAAAAGCTCCCAGAACTCACAACTAGGGCTTGCGTTTAATGGCTGCCTGCCCCTCAGTGGTTGTGCCTTGTCGCAGCTCACTTGCGCTCGCCCAGGTTGCTAATTGTGATTTCCCATGGGACGACTAGGAACCAGACGGGATTTGCGAGCGCAGTTTGCAGAAAGCGACTCTTGCCTCCTGCTCTGCGCGCGGTGCCTGGGGAGCTAAAGCATCCTGAGATTGGACTAAGCATGGGTCCAGCGGGAGACAGTGAGACTGGAGCCCGCCTCCGCGCAGGAGGAGTAGAGCAGGGTGTCCCAGAATTGAGACTGTCCAGTCTTACCTGGAGCAGGAGCGCGGAATGAATCGCGGACTAATAGAGATTGTGTGAAGAAGAGACAGAGAAAAGTGGACAGAGACTCTGAGACGGGCTAGGAAATCAGCCAAGAGAAAGACTAATGGAGAGAGAGGGAGAGAAAAACAGAATCACACAGCTAAGCAGAAATCTCGGGGCTCACCTGGCAGCAAATAGAGGGTAGCTTGGAGCAGCGACTGTGGCAGTGGCAGCAGCTTTGGCATCAGGTGATGACACTGTCGAAGTAGCGATGATGCCTGAGCTGGTCAGTGGCTCTGATGCCTCCCAGCACCGGTTGCTGCTCTTATGCCGCAGCTCTGGGTCTGGGGGGAGCCAGGAGCTCGGCGCAACCAATTAGGGGGAGGATCCAGCGCCCCAACGGATTGTGTCACCACTTGCGTCCAAAACCTGGGGCATCCAGCAGGACCATCCTACTTGTATTTGCATTGAGGTCACTGATGGAAGGGGAGGGGAGGTGACCAAGGAGAATCACCCTTCAAGTGAGCAGGAATTTGAGGACAGTTTTGACATGATGGTAAATTTCGCCTGTTCAGTTCCGTTCAGTTCCGCCTGTTCAGTTCCGGTTTTCAACACGAGCCCCACTCCATCCCCAGGTTTGCGGTCTTGTAGAGCAGGGTCCAGAACTGCAGGGACTCCTGGCTCCCCCAGTCTGACCCTAGACCCCCATGCATGTGAGCCATGGAGGGCTAATGCGCAGTCGTTAATTCTGGACCCAGGCAACCTGTCTGATTCGGGCATCTGGAATCACCCACAGAGGAGCAGGGCTTCTGAGAAGCACGAGATGGAGGTGAGAGCAAGAACTTTGTCAGACCTGAACTCAATTCCAGCTGCGCTAATTCCAGGCGGTAGGGTCACGAGCAAGTAACTTCTCAGCGCCTCACCGTAGTCATCTTTGAAATGGGGACCCTATTCCTGTCTTGAATAAATGTTGTGATTAGTAGCCATGTGCCTGGCCCCCAGCTAGATAGGGATCTAGAAGAGCTTCCTAGCCCACATAGGGGATTCTGTAAGATCGCGGTCCATCCTTTCCGAACCCCCACCTTGTGTGGCTTCCTGGACTCATGCTGGATGGTCTGTCACGTGGGTAGGAGGAGACATACGACCTGCTGGGCCTCAGCGGGGAGGTGCAAGGCACGCAGATGGTCCCCAGCCTCCAAGCAGCCCCTAGCCCTCCCCCTTCCTTCCGCCCCCACCCCCACTCCCCACCCTGCCATCCATCACGTATCACTAGTCCGCCTGCCGGAGCCATTTGCCCAACTGCCCAACTGACTTCTGCTGCTTTGTGCCAAGACATCCCAGTGGCGGGCGATTCCGGCCCTGCACCCGCGTCCCCTGCGCTTGAGTCCTCCACTAGAGATCAGGGCAGGCTTGACGCTGCTGAAGAGTCCCTGCCGAGACTAATGCTCACACTCAGTTCCAGCCGCACTCTTCCACACACACAAACTCATATCTGTGCGAAACATGTGCCCACTCCCCCAAAGCACAGGCACTCACAAAACGACACTGGCACTCAGGGGCATCTGCCCGGGTTCACTCTCAGTCGCGCCCGAAGCGTGCCTCCGAGTCTCTTGTGGGATCGCACGCACACACCGGCATGATGATGATCTGCGCGCACCATATCTGCAATCACTCTCAACGATAAGCGTGCTCCATAACATCAAATTATGCAGAACCTCGACACCCTGCACAAACGGATTTCAGGACCCCTCCGCCAGAGCTTTCTGCTCCAAGCCTGCCTGCAAGGTCCGAGGTCTTACTTGCCGCCCTCAGTGGGTAGAGTGCAGAGAAAGAAGCTTCGCACTGTCTCCCGGAACTTCGGGTCTGAGCGCTCATTCAAGATCCGCCGCAGGCTGTACAGATCCTCCCAGCGCGGCAAGCACAGCCCCGGCATCGGGGTGGGGGACAGGCAACGACCCCAGCTAGATGGTTCTCTCAAAGTAGAAACTAGCGCCAGCGGTGCCGTGAGTGACCCCAGCCACCGGTCCACGCCCCAGTCCTCAGTCCCCAGGAGCCTCAGCATTTCCCAGGACACACCTGCCCCGCGGCACGTCTCTTCCCATTCCACTTGGTGGCCTCCGGGCTGGGGGACACCTAACTTCCAAGATGCCCTTATTCAACTTTTCTCCTTCTTAACTCCTGGGGCTGCACTGCCGGAAGGGAATAAAAGCTCGGGGCGGGGGAAGTGGGGGTCTGAAACTCGGCTCTGGCAGGGCAGACTGGCGGGGTGGCGGTTTATTTGGCTTGGGAAGTCAATTCCCTCATCGAAGTTTTCAGGAATGAGGCAGGGAATTAAAGGTTACGCCTAGAATCCTTTCTAAAACTCGGGTAACCATTTTCCCTGAGCTTATCCCTCATTATCTAGTGAATCCAAGGAAGAATTTTAGACTTCCGCATGCGCGGATCGCTTAGATTTCGGCCAGCTGTTCTTGAAACCTATCTGGGCTTCAGAACTAAACACAGCATGATCTAGCGAAAAGTCACTAAGGAAAATACTGATTTTAAAATAGTCGCTTGACTTTTTGGCTCTTGATTTTACAATCTTATTTCATAAGAGTCAGTTTTGAAACGATCTTTCTTGAAAAAAACATTTTACAACACATAAATTCTTACTTTAATTTTTATTTCCATTCATTTAAATTGGATTCCCCTACTCTTTGATTTAAAAATAATGATAATTTATCAGGGCTTGTCAGAGACCCACATCTGGCTGAAAATTCTTTTTTTTTTTTTTTTGGGGGGCTTATATACAACATAAATTTATTTCTCACAGTTCTGCAGGCTGGAAGTCCAAGATCAGAGTGCCAGTACAGTTGAGTTCTGGTGAGAACCCTCTTCCAGGTTCAGACTTCCAAATTCTCTCTGCATCCTCACGTGGTAGACAGCAGAGTAAAGGAAGTGGCTCTCTCATGACTTATGAGAAGTCTAATCCCATTCACGGAACAGACATTTCTCCAAAGAAGATATACAGATGGCCAACAGACACATGAAAAGATGTTCAAAATCACTAACTATCAGGGAAATGCAAATCAAAACTACAATGAGATATCACCTCACGCCCGTCAGAATGGCTATAATTAACAAGACAGGAAACAACATGTGTTGGAGAGGATGTGGAGAGAAGGGAACTCTCATACACTGCTGGTGGGAGTGCAAACTGGTGCAGCCACTATGGAAAACAGTATGGAGATTCCTCAAAAATCAATGATAGAACTACCATATGATCCAGCTATTCCACTGTTGGGTATTTATCCAAAGAACTTGAAAACACCAATTTGTAAAGGTACATGCACCCCTGTGTTCATTGCAGCGTTATTCACAATAGCCAAGACTTGGAAGCAACCTAAGTGCCCATCAAGGGACGAATGGATAAAGATGTGGTATATATACACAATGGAATACTACTCAGCCATAAGAAACGATGAAATCCAGCCATTTGTGACAACGTGGATGGACATTGAGGGTATAATGCAAAGTGAAATAAGTCAGAGGGAGAAGGTCAAATACCGTATGATTTCCTTCATTAAGTAGTAGATAATAACAACAATAAACAAACACATGGAGACAGAGATTGGATTGGCGGTTACCAGAGGGGAAGGGGGAGGGAGGAGGGTGAAAGGGATAATTCGGTACATGTGTGTGGTGATGGGTTGTAATTAGTATTTGGGTGGTGAACATGATGTAATCTATGCAGAAATAGAAGTACAATGATGTACACCTGAAATTTTTACAATGTTATAAACCAATGTTACTGCAATAAACAAAAATAAAATAAAATAAAATAATCCCATTCACGAGGGTTCTACCCTCATGGTCTCATCTAATCCTAATTACCTCACAGAGGCCCCACCTCCTAAAACCATCACATTGGGGGGGTAGAGTTTCAACACATGAATTTTAGGGGGGGGGCATAAATATTCAGTCCATAACAGCTTTTAATGAGTAAATGGGAATGTATTTAACAAAATATAGATTTAGAAGATAACACCATTTTGCAAGATAGACCGTAAGACCTGAATAGATATATTTACAAAATATATCTATTCTTTCAATAAATACTTTATTCAAAA